ATGTCTATTTAAGTTTTATATTTTAAAAATAAAAAATTAAATTAAATTTCTTAAAAATAAATAAAGAGATTATAATTTTTGAAAAATTAGAGTGAGGCAATCACTTACTCTACCAAGGGTCATCGAACCTTGGCGGAGTGAGTGGTTCTATTTGATACACAACACTAAAAGCTATAAAGCAAGGCTTATGTTTACTAATTTAAAATAAATAAATTTATACATCTATGCTCAATATAAATACTACTCTAGTTTAATAACCATACGAATCTCAATCTCAATAATTTAAAACAATTAATTTTATATTTAGATTTTCAATATAAATATCATTCTAGTTTAATATTAAAACACATCTCAATTTCTATCTCAATAATTTGAGATAACTAACTTTATATACAGAAATTTAATATAAATATCATTTTAATTCAATAACCATACGCATCTCAACCTAAATTGCAATATCAATCTCAATCTTAATATCAAACTCAATAATCCAAAATCCCTAACTTTATATATATATATATATATAATTGAATAGAAATAATACTTCAATTACTATACATATCTCAATCTCAAAAAAATTGAAAAAAAATAACTCTATATATATAGAAATAACTCTAATTCACTAAAAATTCAATATTTCACTCAATAGTAGCAATAATCCATACTAATCCACACGAATGAGACAATATAATTTTGCAAAAAAAAAAAAGCAAGATAATCCCAATTACCTTTACCAGTAGGGACGGTGATGTAGATGACAGATTTGGATCACTAATCTGTCAAGAAAACAAAATATATAAGGTCTATAAGTCCAAAACCAAGGGAAATTTATCCAGATTTTTGGTGAAGAAACTAACCGTCCAAGCAGCGATTGAGAAGGTAATGGGCCTGTGGCAGAGATGGTGAACTAGAGGTGGTGAAGGTTGGATTATTTGCAAGAAATAAGAAAAATGCCTTTTTGTACATCCAAATCAAAAGAAACAAGAAACCCCCCCCCAAAAAAAAAACAAAACAAAATGAAACAAAACTAATTGTCAAATGGTGTCCGGATTTGCAAGCAAGGTAGCGGTAGGTCAATCTTTTGGGTGGCGTGGTGGTGTGACTAGAAATGAATAGATCTACAAGAAATTGGAATGGTGATTGTAAATGAATAGATCTACAAGTAAATAAAAAAAAAAAAAAAAACTCCATATGAACATAGAGTCCAACAAAATCACAATCACCAGCAAAGGGATTCAAAAACTAGTGCACGTGGAGCTATTCTTCTCAGGTTAGTGACTATAAATCACACTAGAGAAGGAACCAGATCGACTACAAAACGAGAAAAAGAAATGGGGAAGAAAGGGGGGATGGGTGGGATAATGAAGCCTATAACCAATAGCCATAGCTGTTGGTTGTACAGGGAAAAATCAAAATAGTGTTGTTTCACAAGATAAACGACAGAAAACTTGATGATTATACTGAATATATAATCGGCAAAACAATGACAGTTAATTATACTTAATTGACAGACAAAATTCTGTCGATAATATTCACATAATCAACAAAATGTTTGTCGATTATACTTCTTGTCGTTTATGTAAGAAAAACTATGACATCATCAACAAAAAAATATAATCGACAGAGAACTTGTCGATTATGAAGCTATATTTGACAGAATATTTTTTATCGATTATAAGTTTGTCGATTATACTCCATTTTCTAGTAGTGGAAGATTTAAAAAAGTAATTTGTTCATACTTTTTTTTTAAGTATGGATTTTTCTCTACCCTATTTAGGAAGAATATTTGGGGGTTTGGTCGAGACACAACCAAGTCAATATTAAAAACAAGCCTTTTAATGAAATTTTCAAGTGTAATATAGGACTACGACATGGCAATAATGTTGGTTTCATTTTCTCCTTATTAATTGATTAAAACATCAAAATAAAATAAAATAAGACAAAATCATTTTGTCAAACAGTGGACTTGAAAATTTTAAAAGACAAAGGTTAAATACCCAACTTAGTCTCTCAATTATTACATGAACTCCTGAGTTGGCCCCTCAACTAAAGAACTCTCTAATTTGGCTTAGGTGGTTGGTTAATTGACGATGTAATTATGACATGTCAAGAAAATTAGACATGTAGGATTTAAAATGGAACAAAATGCATGACATGTCAAGAAATCAGTGAATTTAATGAAAGGTTTGTCTATCTAAGGGCACAAGATAAGACTTAATTATTAAGTAATAATTATCAATTTTTTTCTTAAAAGATGTGAGATTTTAAATTTAAAAAAATAAATTCTGATATTAATTTCAAAATGAACCACTAAAAAACTAATACATGACATTTGTAATTGAAATAAAAATCAAATTTCCTATTTTCAAGAGCAAAGCAAGCAAGTCAAGTATACAAAGAAGAAGCGTATCTAAGTTTTGGGTTTTGCTGATGTTTTTTCACCCTCTGGTTTTGATATGTAGGAAAACTTAGAATTCACGTGCAGGTGGCATATACAGGCGGCATATCAGTTACTATTGGTTTGTGTTAGTTAATATGCTAGTATAAATGTGTTTTGTGACTCTTTGTTGGGTGTTCAGTTATTTTGGTGTTCTTCAATCTTTTTAAACTCCTCTGTAATTCTCTTGTATTCTAGAGTATATTGCAAAGGATATATATCGAAGATCCTTTCTCTTTTGTGGATTTTCCTTGTATTCCTTTAAATTCTGTCTATTGGTATCATTTGGTATCAGAGCAAGTTCTTGGCATCATGGAAGCTCACTTACAAGAACAGAAGAAACTGATTGATGATGTTGTTAAAACAGCTATGGCTGAGATGGGTGGACATTATGAACAACTACTTAAGGCCATGGAGGATAAGTATGAAAACCAAGTGTCAAATTTGAGAACTCGAATGTAAGGTCTGAATGTGCAGCAAAATCAGATCATGGCACAACTTGATACCTCTTCAACTTCTCGAGGTTCTCAAAATTTTGGGAATTCATCTTCAAATGCAAGTATGGGGCCACTTACTTCCAAAACTACCAAGATAGAATTTCCCAAATTCAATGGTGAAGAATTGAAAGATTGGTTGTATAAATGTAATCAATATTTTAGAATTGATGGTACTCTTGATGAACATAAAGCTCATTTGGCTTCAATAAATCTTGAGGGAAAGGCTATCAAATGGCATCAATCTTTTTTAGAGATTAAGGGAGAGCAAGTGCTTTCAAATTGGGAGGAATATGTTGAGGGCCTTAAGGCTAGATTTGATGATAAGGCTTATGAGGATCCCATGTCTAATTTGATCTCACTTAAGCAAACTGGGACAGTGGAAGAATTCCAGGAGCAATTTGATACTCTTTTCCCTCAAACTGGAATAAATGAAAAACAAGCAGTGAGTTTTTTCCTCAGTGGATTGAGAAAAGAGATAGAAATTTTAGTGAGGATGCTTAAGCCACAGACTCTTTATGATGCTTATGCTTTAGCCCGACTACAAGAGTCTTCCATTAAGGAGGCACAAAAGTTAGCTTTAACATGTAAACTTCAACCCAGACCAATTGCATCCTTATTACCTACATCGAACACTCTTCCTTGGACACCTAATGCTACTACAAAAACATTTACCTCTACCAACTCTACCAAATCACTTTACCTAGACACTTGACCATCAAACACCTCTCCCAAACATATTAAGCCCCTTACTAGACAAGAGATGGAGGAGCGGAGGCGAAAAGGATTATGCTATTGGTGTGATGAAAAATTCACCAATGGTCACAAATGCAAAAATATGCAGTTATTTTCCATTGAAGTTGTTGAGGATGATGAAGGAAAAGAAGGGGAAGTCTTTAAGGAAGCCATAGAAGAACTTCCAGATGACTCCAATCCACACATGTTTGTTCATGCATTATCTAGAGGTAGCAATGGAGCTTATCGTACAATGAGGGTAATTGGATATGTGAATAAGAAACCTATTCACATACTCATTGATTCTAGGACTACTCATAATTTTTTAGATGTTAATGTGGCAAAAAGGGTTGGTTGTAAATTACAAGCTGTTAAGGCTTTGAAAGTTGATGTAGCTAATGGAAGTTCATTGGAATGTGTCCATATGTGCCAAGATTTTACTTGGTGGTTACAACGTAAACCATTTCATACGGACACATTAATTTTACCTCTTGGTAGTTGTGATATGGTGTTGGGAATTCAGTGGCTAGAGACCTTGGGTGACATTTTGTGGAATTTTAAGACTTTACGCATGGAATTTACTATCAATGGACAAAAGTATGTACTTAGGGGATCCTCTTAGGTGTCTTTAAAGATGGTTGGCAGTAAAGGAATGGTGAGATTGCTTAAAAAAGAAGGACAGGCCAGCTCAATTCATTTATATAGTCTGATTGTTGAGGCTATCGATGGACGAGGCACTTGGCAAACTGAAGAAAATAAAGCTAAAGACGCTTCCAAGAAGGTTTCAATCTATCCTAAATTGGAGAAATTATTATTAGAGTATGCTGATCTCTTTGCAAAACCTAAAGGCCTTCCTCACCACAGAGCTCATGATCATAAAAGTTGTTTAAAGGAAGGGACTGATCCTATTAATCAAAGGCCATACAGATATGCAAGAGTACAGAAGGATGTCATTGAAAAAATGACTCAAGAATTGCTACAAACAGGTATCAACCAACATAGTGTAAGTTCTTTTGCCTCACTTGTAGTTTTGGTTAAGAAGAAAGATGGGTCTTGGCACATGTGTATAGATTACAAAATTCTAAATAAGCAGACTATGAAGGATAAATATCTCATACCCCTCATTGAAGAGCTGTGAGATGAGTTGCAAGGATCAAAATTTTTTTCTAAGATTGGTCTTAGATCATGATACCATCAAATTAGAATGTATCCACCAGATGTTCCAAAAACAGCTTTCAAAACTCATGAAGGACATTATAAATATTTAGTCATGCCATTTGGTCTCACCAAGGACCTTCTACTTTTCAATCTCTTATGAATGATATTTTCAGAGTTTACCTTCGAAAATTTGTCTTGGTATTCTTTGATGATATCCTTGTTTACAATAAGAGCTTGGAAGAGCATATCTGCCATTTGAGATAGGTGTTTAAGCTGTTGAGAGATAATGAGCTATTTGCGAAGTAAAGCAAATGTTTCTTTGGTTGTGACAGGATAGAATATCTTGGGCACTATATCTCTAAAGAGGGAGTTTCTACTAATCCTAAGAAGATCTTAGTTGTTTAGCAATGGCCTCAACCGAAGACTGTCAAGGAATTGAGGGGATTTCTCAGTTTGATAGGATATTATCAAAGGTTTATTCGGAATTATGGGAATTTGAGTAAACCTTTGACAAAATTGCTTAAAAAGAGGGGTTTCATTGGTCAAGGGAGGCTAGTGAAGCTTTTGAATCCCTTAAGCATGTTGTGATAACAACTCCAGTGTTGGTTTTGCCAGATTTTTCCAAGGAGTTTGTAGTGAAGACCGATGCTTCTAATGTTGGTATTGGTGCTATTCTTTTACAACAAGGACATCCAATAGCCTTTATCAACAAGGCTTTGTCCTTAAGACATCAAAGTTTATCAGTTTTTGAAAAGAAGTTGTTAGCTTTAATTTATGCAGTGCGTAAGTGGTCACATTACTTGATTGGAAGGCATTTTATTGTCAAAACAGATCACCATAGTTTGAAGTATCTTTTAGAGCAGAGGATTAGTACTCCTTTACAGCAAGCTTGGTTGGCTAAATTAATGGGCTATGATTTTTCAATTAGTTATAAAAAGGGAAAAGAAAATGTGGTAGCTGATGCACTTTCTCGAGTGTCCAGTAACCAGCTCATGCAAATGGCAGTCTCCAAGATTCTTCCTGGTATTTATGAAGAGGTGAGACTTAGCTGGGAAGTTAATCCAGTGCTTCGAGAAATCTGTAATAAATTACAGCAAGGTTCTTTAAAAGATTCTGCTTACACTTGGTCTGAGGGACAACTAAGACGAAAAGGCAGATTAGTTGTGGGAAAGAATGCTGCTCTTAGGAGGAAGTTGATTCATTTGGTGCATGATAGTGCATTGGGAGGTCACTCTGGAATTCAAGCTTCCACAAAAAGGCTTGCATTTTTGTTTTATTGGAAAGGCTTAGAGAAAGATGTGAGGCAGTACATAAGGCAATGTGATGTATGCCAACGTTACAAACCAAAAAATACTCCAACTCCAGGGCTATTGCAACCTCTACCAATTCCTGAAGCAATTTGGACTCAAGTCAGTATGGATTTCATTACAGGCCTTCCAAAATCTTATGGCAAAGATGCTATCTTTGTTGTTGTTGATAGACTTACAAAATATGCACATTTCATTGCCTTACAACATCCCTATTCAGCTCTTACTGTTGCACAAGCTTACATGGACAATGTCTTTAAGTTGCATGGATTGCCTCAAGCAATTGTATCTGACAGGGATACCATTTTTCTTAGTAATTTTTGGCAGGAGTTGTTCAAACTCCAAGGGGTTGAACTACAATGTTCTTCTACTTATCATCCTCAAACTGATGGGCAAACAGAGGTGGTGAATATGTGTCTTGAAAATTATTTGAGGTGCATGAATGGTGATCGTCCGATAGAGTGGAGCAAGTGGTTACCTCTTGCTGAGTGGTGGTATAACACTAATTTTCATACTACTACCCAAATTTCTCCATTTGAGGCTTTGTATGGATTTCCACCACCATTGCATATAGCTTGTGTACTTGGAGATTCAGATGTTGTAGCTGTTGATCAAAGTTTGCAAGCTTGGGAAGCTATGTTGAAGACACTGAAATTTCACCTCACTCAAGCACAACAAAGAATAATACATCAAGCTGACAAGCATAGACAAGAATGACAATTTGCTATTGGAGATTGGGTCTATCTCAAACTTCAACCATATAGGCAAGAATCTGCGCAATCTAGGCCGTCTCACAAACTTGCTGCTAAATATTTTGGCCCATTTCAGGTGATTGATAAAGTGGGTAAGGTAGCATATAAATTAGCCTTGCCTGATTCATCTCAGATACATCCAGTAATTCATGTGTCACAGCTAAAGAAAAAGGTTGGAGTAGAAATTCAGGTGACTACTCAATTTCCTGTTGATTTGCCTTTACTAGTGATGATAGAGCATGTAGCTGTTTTGGGAAGAAAAATGGTGAAACGGGGAAATCGAGCTGCTACTAAGGTGTTAGTCTAGTGGTCTCATGCTTACCCTAAAGATGCTACTTGGGAGTATCTCTATGATATTCAACAACGATTTCCAAATTTCCATCCTTGAGCACAAGGATACTTTTGAGGGGAAGGAATTGATATGTAGAAAAACTTAGAAGTCACGTGCAAGTGGCATATCAGTTACTGTTGGTTTGTGTTAGTTAATATGCTAGTATAAACGTGTTTTGCAACTCTTTGTTGGGTGTTCAGTTATTTTGGTGTTCTACAATCTTCCTAAACTCCTCTGTAATTCTCTTGTATTCCAAACTATATTGCAAAGGATATATATCGAAGATCCTTTCTCTTTTGTGGATTTTCTTTGTATTCCTTTAAATTCTATTTACTAGTATCAGGTTCAACTCCTGATCCTCATTACTAGATGAATTCATGGTATCGCTATTAGTAACTGACGAAATCAGAACAATTCTTGGGGTTCTAAGGCTGCTGGAGCCTAT